CCCCCAAAACCCCAAAACCCCAAAACCCCAGTAACTCCCCACAACTTGAACTCTGAAATTCCAGTACAAAAAGTAGGTGAATTAGGACTCACTACCTGTAAATTAGGGCTTTAGCATGAATCACATTTTTTGGAGTGAGTTTTGGGGGAAGAGGGCAGATGGGGTTTAGAAGGGTGGGATAGGGAGGGAGGGTGAGCGGTGGGAGAGAATGGGTTTGGGGAGGAAGGATTTGGGAAAGGGAGGTGGAATTTTAAAACTTTGGTTGGTGTTTGGGGGTGTAGGTTCATAAGGAAGAGGGGTTATAGCTTTTATGGGATGGAAAAACGGGCTTATATGTTTGTTAATCCAGTAGGAAGCAGAGTAGGTCAACATCTTTGAATAATTTAAAATTCAATAGAGTTAGCCATAAGTTGTTCCAGAAACATTTTGAGAAAGACTGTTTCCTAATTTTTAGAGGGAATGAAAGGGGTTTTATAATAATGGGATGCTATGGAGATCATTAGCATCCTTAATTTAGAACCTAAGTGAAAGTTTATATTTTCACAAAGATCCGGAAGGAAGAGTAGAGAGTCCATAGTTTTTAATTATTTTCTTGATCTTTCAAATTCTTCAACTAATTTTCAAAAATAGCAAGTAGATATTTTTAAAAAAGTTCTGAAAAATTTTGATTTGCAACTTTAAAGTGATCGATAACTCCCTGATGCTTCTTTCCTGTATTCTGCAATGAAGGATAGATTAATCATAGCACTTGGCCTTATCATACTTGAGTTGTTAAGTATAGGACCAACTTCTTCAAGTTACCTTTTGAAGTTGAACATTTTTGATTCATGGATTGTATAAGATTTATAAAATACTGAGTTTAAAATTTCACCAGTTCGAATAAAATACTGACTTTAAAGTCTACCCAAGAGGAAGAAAAGCTGATGCTTTCTTTGTTGTTAATAAGTAGTCTTTTTAAATTAGTTATGCATTAATTATTTATAGATATTACATCTGGTAAGGATTAGGAACTCTCCACATCATTCATCGTTACCGCCCTACCATTTGAATCCTTGTTGTTAGGAAGAGAAGAATGGCTATCGAAAGAATGGAACCTAGCCCATTCATGATCAATAGCTTTTGGGGATATTTCTCTGTCTGATTCGTAGTAAAACTTGTTTCTGATGTGCATCGCTTTGTGAAGCAAATCTTTGATTTCATCCTGCAAACTACTTCTCTCAGGTAATCTTTGTATACCGTAACTCTTGCTTGAGATAGGTTCTTCATTCTTTACCTGCTTCATTTGGCCTCTATTAGGATGAATTTTAGGCTTTAAGCCAAAAGAAAAAGCTTCAGCTTCAGCAAAACTTTTACGCCTTCTTTCTTTCTGAAAAGGTGACATTGACACAAAACTATTACAATACAATGAGTTCTTGCTACTTGATCAAGATACTCACTCATCAAGTACCTCATCCGGTACATTTTCATCAAAACCAATCGAATCCTTCATATTTATAGCTTCTTATTAAATTTTACCTATCTCAAGTCTTCCCTCCACACACGGGGTTTTGGGGTTTTGGGGTTTTGGGGTTTTGGGG